TGTCTGTTTGGTTAATGCACTCTGCTGCCAACCATCTGTGGGGCTGCACTTGGATGGCAGCAGATGCCATTGACCAAGCTGGGAGTGGAGCGCTCGAGGGAAGAGGCAGGGTGGATGCAGAGCCCCAGAGCACAGCCCCACAGGAGCACACCAAGTCCCACAGCAGCACTCCCAGCCCACCACCACCAGCAGGGCTGCACTCCTGGCTGCCAGCTGTAGGGCTCTGTAGCCACCCTGCCTCTTTTCTCCAGCAGCCTCATCCCTGCTTCTCTACCTTCCTTCCTCCCTGACATGTAAGAGACTTGAGCTCTCTCCAGCTCCCTTGAGTCTGCCCAGCACTGCTCCCTCCAGGTGCTCCTACTTCTTTCCTGGCCAGAGCAAAAATGAGCTCTTCTCAGCCCTGCAGCCTTTATATGGCCCAGCCTAGCCCAGGTTGGCCTATTGCTCCTCACGCCTTGGCCAAGGATGCGCAAGCCTCTCCTAACTAGTTTGTAACCCTCTCCCTGCTGGAGTGGGCTACAGAACTACTGCAGATAGTTAAATGAAAAAATCAATTTGAGGAAGTCTATTTTTTTTGTTTAACTATCTACAGCTCCCTCATAAACACCACATAAACCTTAATCCAGGTTCCAACAAAGCCTAATTTAGGAATTCTCTGATTTCTATTGTACTGAGTTTTCACCTCCTTGGACCTAGCATACCATTTGAGCTTGTGCTCTCTCACACCAGTCTAGTCCTAAAAGGGGGCCGTGACAACAAGTTCACTGCTGCGTAAGGCAACAGCCCAGGAAGGCATTGGACAACAACCCATTGGATTTGGCACTAATCATAGGCCACTGTCCCCCAATTTTTTTACATCCCAATCTCCTTCCTCATTTGTTTCCACTAAACTGCCACCATCTAACTGTTCCTCTATTGTGTAGACTGAAACAATACTACTGACGGACACTCTGTCCCATCCCAGCACTTATTTGTCTGAATTGCAGTCCCTAAAACTAAAATTTTGTGTTTGGGCACACGTTCTTGAAGGGTTTAGTGGGATGGGCCTTGGTCCATTATCATTTCATTTAGCTATCTACAGATGTAAATTGAATAGTATTTCCCCTTCACTTCTCACTTATCAGTATTTCTATAAAGTTATTAATTAGTGCATTATAACTTAGTACAGTGAAACCTTTGTTATCCAGCACTCTGTTAAGCAGAAAACTTCTGTTAATCAGAAAACTTCGTTAACCAGCGACAATACGATCACATTTTAAGGCATACAGGCCTGGTTTGGTTTACAATGATTGGCTTAACAATTTTTTATTTACGAAGTACTAATCATCTTAACTCAAAATAGAAATGTGAGATCAACTGCCTCACACGACAAAACTACCAATACTAAAAACTTGAGTTTTACTATTATTGTCCATTGGTTTTTCCTAGGTTGATGGGATCTTCAGATAACCGGAATTTTTAGATAACCGGAATGCCCTAATCCCAGAGCATGCTGGATAACACAAGTTTTACTGTAATAGCTTTACAGCAATTCACATCCAAAAGTTGTGTTATGTTAATTTCAGCAATGTGCATGAGTTCAGTCACTTTATTAATAAACAGGATTTTTCTCCAGTGACCACTAGTTGGCTTCTTCCATGAAAAAGGATAGTTTTATGAATAAGGCAATGGGACTGGAATTCTAGCAATCTGCTTTCTTTTCCCAACTGTCCTGCATGTTTCTTATATGACTGCAAATCTAGCCTCTGTTTCCCCGTCTGTATACATTTAATTTCTTTGATTTAAACTAAAAAGTCTGATCCACAGGCTCAGAAAGCCCCGTCAAAACCAAAATGTGCAAGTTCTGTCAGTTCATCTCTTCTGCTAAGCAGCAGCTCAATCAAATAGCATCTCTATATGTTGGCCTATGTTCTCGTGTCCATACCTCACATTCAAAAGCCAAGTGAAATAAATAGTCCCTGCAGCATGCAGTGAAAGTTGATGAATACAAGCCGGCTCAAAACATTTTGGAATCCTAAGCCTTTAAGGTAAGGCCAGCCACCCTGGCTCCCATATCTGAGAAGAGACCTTTGCTGATTGCAATTATGGCAGTGTGTTACTAGAGGAGCCCTCAGACACTGGGATAATGCTATTTTTCTTAACACAAAGAGAGGTTAGGATTATAAACTCTTTATTTGTGAAGCATTCTGTTACTATGATACTAGCAACTCGATATCAAAATAATTAAAAATACCTATTTTAATAAACATATTAATCCACTAACCTTATGTAACCCCCTTTTTCCTCCCCGGGTTACTGGGGAGCAGGTCACACTCACAGGTGTGCCTGGGTGCCTGATGTTTTAACCCCAAAGAGATCCTGAGCACCCCAGTGGTGATGGTGTTTAGTTGGGGAAAGCCCTATCCACCCGCTTGCTGCAGTCCCTTGCTGGCAATGAATGTAAAATGGTGGTGCCTCCACCTGGCTAGCCTTGTACACACACTGGTGTGCCTTGAGAGCCTCCAGGAATATACTCATTCCAACTATAATATGGATCCAAAACAACAACTACAAATCATATACATCTAATAGAATACTTTAAAATAAACAATCTTTACTTAACTTAAATAAACAGGGATTAACAGAATTAGAAATGAATAGCATTAACAAAACACATAACACTGATTGAAGCTTATACAGCTACCATTTGTACTAATAGTGACCCCACCCCAGAGTGTGCACACCCCTGGACTCAGTCCCAGACACTTGCTTGCGCTGGCGCGCTGACGTTGCAGCTGTAGTGAGGATTTGGTCCAGGCTAAACAGCAGCTCTGTCCCAGGTAGCACTTTTCCAACAAGGCCCAAAACTTACTGCCTCATGCTGTGCCTATAGAAAGCAACCTGCTACCTCCCAGTTCCAACAGGCAACGGTCTGTAGCTGCATCCAACAGCCCCTGCACTGGATCAACGTCCTTGGCAGCAGCCTGGCTCCCCCTTTGGTTCCAAACTGCAAGGCAGAGTCCCAGACTGCTAGGCCTCTTTCTTCAAGCACATGGAGAGAGACAGTCTTCTCTCACACAAGAGTCCTTCCTTCCTGTTTTTTCCCAAGGGCTCATGGGAATTGTAGTCTGGATTGTAGCACACAGGGTCTTTTCAGAATAAAACAGAGGCCCCTTTAGTAAGGGGACTACACTTACATTTAAAAATCACTTAAATTGAAAAAAATCAAACAACATGCCCAAAGCAAAACAAACTCTAAATAATCTTATCGATAATGATCTTAAAATAACAACTTGCTGTGCTTGAATAAAAGATGCGTTTAAAGCTTTAAGTATCTTACAGGGAATAATAGTTTTAATTGCATTACTTATAGCTTGTCATTTACAGTTTGTTGGAACAGTATAATTCTCGCATACATTCTCTTACCTCTGCTACATGTGTCAAGTTGGCAAAGGTGCCATCCTTATTTAAAAGAAATCATGACCTCAGGTAAGGGACTGTTGGCCAATGTTATACATAGGGCATATCTTATTAATATTGTACATATCCAGCCAGTGGGCAATTATGTTCATCCTGCTTGCCTACATCAATAAATACGTATCTAACAATATTATGAAAAACTAAATTTGACATTTAGCATGGGTGAATGCGATACCTATCAAATGTAAAAGTTGCTTGTTCTACACCCTCGTAAAGTGACTCTCAACCTTTCCAGATTACTGTACCCCATTCAGGACTCTGATTTATACTGTGTACCCCCCAAGTTTTGACTCTCTTAAAAACGACTTGCTTACAAAATCAGACATAAATACAAAAGTGTCACCGCACACAATTACTGAAAAATTGCTTACTATTTCATTGTTAACACATAATTATAAAATGAATCAAGTGGAATACAAATATTGCACTTACATTTTAGCATATAATACACAGCACAGTATTAACAAATGTTTATTACCTCAGTGTTTCTCAGAGTGGTCACTCTGAGAAAGCTGCTACCAGGCTGCTCTGGTTTATTCACTTACCAGCTCTGTAGCCTCAGAGACTCGTGGCTTCCATTGTCTGCAGTTTGCCATTTGCAATCAAGGGAACGTATGAAATTTTATTTTGTACTGACTTGTATGTAACCTGTTGTAAAACTAGGCAATATCTAGATGAGTTGATATACTCCTGAAAAACCTCAACATACCCCAAGGGTTATACATATTTCTGGTTGAGAACCAATGCCCTTGTACAGATTGGAAGACCCCTTCACAGGCAACTGATCTGCAATGCAATATCCAAAACAAAAATAAGGAAAGCTACAAGATAAAAAGGTGACAGGTAAATTTTAATCTTAAGTGATGTATACAGTGCTTTCTTAACTTGTAAAGGAATCTATTGATGCCTGGCAAGAAGAGTGATAATTTGGGAGGATTTGTTTTTGAAGTACACATACTGGATAGCATAAACATGCTGCAGGATAAGAATTGCTTCCCCAAAGCTGGGGTATGTATATCTCCTTTTCATACTGTACTGTTTTGTCTTTAGACAGTACATTGGCTAAGCTTGGTTATTTGGTCTCAAACATTTTTAATATTGAACCATAATTGCTACATATTCTAGCAAAAAGAGATAGATGAGCTCACTTCTGTACCCTTAATGTTTACATATATTACAGTGAAAACTACTCATATAAGAGTGTTACCAAAAGCTTCCTAATATTACAATATAAATCTAGAAGAAAATTAAGCTAAAACATCTTCATGTTGTGTAGTGAGATTGTGAAGATTGGCATGGATTAGTCCTGGGGTCAGAGAACTGCCTTTTGCTGTGCCCAAGAATTTCTGTATAGATTTGGCCAAGTTATATAAACTTGTGTTCTGTGTATGCTCAGTAGTCTTAGCTAGACACTTTCTGCTATAATCACTCATTCAATCCGCATGTAGTACAATACAAGTGTTTCGTTGCCGCATGCCTCAACACACTGAATTTCAAAATAGGACACAGACAAAATGGATCCTTTGTTTCCTCTGCATAGGGGGATATGCACTGGGCTGGATTTCAGAAAAACCTGATGAACCTCAGCTTTTATTCTGAGTGGAGTTCATTATTTGCCCTTCATAAACCTTATTACTGAGCCAGGTCAACCTCACCGATAGGCAACTCATTCTGGGAACAAATAGAGCACAGATTTCTAGTATAACAGATCCAACTCTTATCCCCACTTTGCTACATAGTGCCTCAGAATATCACTGCTCAGTCTGTGTGCTGGGCTATGGAATATGAATGACTACATTGCACAAATGCAATCAAATTCCAGGCCTTGTCCTCCATTAGTGCATGTTGTACAATGAATAACCAGTTTCACATGGTGGGGCTGTAGGAGAGGGAAGTGTACATTTCAATCTTTCTAATTGCTTTTCTGTGAATTTGCCATGCACTATAGAGAACAGTAGAGACAGGATTGCCACAGAAGTCATGGATTCTGTGACTCTCAGGGACCACAGTGACATTTTCCACTCTAGCCCAGGGGTGACAGAACCAAAGTGTTCAGCCAGTGGGGGCATCCAAATCTCCCCCAGCCACTGCAAGCAGCGGATGGGGTACCTTGAGCTCCTAGACACCTCCAACCAGTGAGATTGGGGTGAGGAAGGGCTCCAGAGCTTTGCAATGACATACCAAGGGGTCTCATGCCATAGGGAGCTAGCATGCTCTTAGAGTCACAATCACATCCAGGTGTGATAAAATGATGTTATCCTCATTATACAGATGAAATGCACACATATTAAGGCCAAAATGGCACACATGTCCACTAAATTCAGATGCCCATTTTGAAATGCATCAGATTTGATTTTTCTTAGCATTAAATGGCATTTCATATGTTCAAAGTACAGCTTCCATTGACTTCAGTTTGAAGGTATAAACATTAAGCACTTCAGCAAATAAGATTTCATGTGTCTCTCATTTTGTATCCATAAAACACACTTAATGGCCAACAGTGAAAAGTTTCAAGTACCTTATCTAGCACCACACAGGAACTCTGTGGCAGAGACCACTGTTTGTAGATATTAAGCTTCCACAGATGTGATCCTTTGCTCATAAACCAAAGTGATTTGTACTTACAATTCTAGCTTTCTCAATCTAGGATTGTAGAGATCCTGAAGTTAGGAATGTGTGTAATATCTTACTCTGACCCAGTTAGTCAGAGAAAATAGATACAAATGTCCAAAGAGGAACCCTGTTGTGATTGATTGAGGATCTTTATTATTATTGCAAATATGTTCTGTGATTGAAGAAATAATGAATCATTGAGATATGTTTTCAGTTTTTTAGGAGTTGTTTGATGCTACAGGTCATTTCTGTAAAAACATGTGTACCAGTGCCTTTAGTTTATCAAGAAAGCTTCAAAGAAATTCCAAGATAAATCAGCTGTGGTAAAAGAACTCTTTGTCATAGACACACTATATAAAGAGGAATGATTGTGAGAGTTAGCTGGAAAATCATACTTCTCCAGATCAGTTGGATAATGTATAACTTTCCTTTCTATGTTCTGTATTGTGCTGTATTAACCTTTGACTAATAATCGTTGATTAATATATTCTAATTGAGCCCTGTTATGTGAAGTCTTCTCGGTAATTTAAATAGAACCTTAAAACAGTGAGGCTATGTCTACACTGCAGGCTTTTTGTACAAGAACAGCTGTTCTTGCACAAAAACTTGCAGAGTGTCTACACTGCATGCGCGTTCTTGTGCAAGTAAATTTACAGTACAGAGTCGGAAAACAGGGCTTCTTCTAGAAGAGTTATTCCTCTCCCCACAAGGAATAAGCTTTCTTGCGCAAGAACTCTTCCACAAGAAGACAGTGTAGACAGGCAACATGAATTTCTTGTGCAAGAAACCCCTATGGGTAAAATGGCCATCAGAGCTTTCTTGCACAACAGAGCGTTCACATGGCAAAAGCACATAGCAGTGTGGATGCGCTCTTTTGGAAGACCTTTTGCACATGAACTCTTGCGCAAAACAGTTTTTGCGCAAGAAGCCTGCAGTGTAGACATAGCCTGAAGGAATCTAATTCTCCAAGGCCGTATTCTGTTACTTCAACTATGAGATCCTACTTTGTCTTCCTATCATCCCTTGCTTCGTGCAGTATATGCCTTTCAACTTCTGCAACACATGAAGCAAGGAATTTACAACACGAGCCTCATTGTCAACATAGCCTTCATGCACGCTCTGAACACCACCCATCCTCGTGCCCCACCTGAGGCAGGCATTGCGGAAAAAGTGTGATCCAGTAATATAGGACTGCAATTATGCATATACAGAAGGACAGCAAACTGAGGTTGCAACAGTAACCGTACTTCTGACATTTCCTGATCTGAAACTTTTCTCTTTTTTCAAAAAGCAGCATTTCTATGTATATTTTGTACATATACAACTTAACAAAGCATTCTGACAATCTGTAATGTTACTGACCCTGTAAGGTGATGCTACATGGGGAATAAGAGTTCAGAACCTGAGCTTGCTCCATGAAACCCCAATTTGACAAGTGCTAGATGTTCTGGGCAGGCAGCACACTTACTCCTCAAGGCTAGAAGCAACTCATGACACTCACTTATCTTTCTTCCCGAACTCTCAGGCTACGTCTACACTGGCCCCTTTTCCGGAAGGGGCATGTTAATTTCACTAGTCGTCGTAGGGAAATCCGCGGGGGATTTAAATATCCCCCGCGGCATTTAAATAAAAATGTCCGCCGCTTTTCTCCGGCTTTTAAAAAAGCCGGAAAAGAGCGTCTAGACTGGCCCCGATCCTCCGGAAAAAGTGCCCTTTTCCGGAGGGTCTTATTCCTACTTCAAAGGAAGAAGACCCTCCGGAAAAGGGCACTTTTTCCGGAGGATCGGGGCCAGTGTAGACGCTCTTTTCCGGCTTTTTTAAAAGCCGGAAAAAA